ATCTTACTATAAACTTTTATTCATGCCTTTCTCTCCCCGTATCTAATTAAGTGTTCATTTCTGACCAGTGTACTTTAGGAGCACGTCTCTACTTCCATAGCTAGTACTCTACTGAAGGGCTTTATTCTTTGACAAAAACTCTTAAAGCATGTCTTCATTAATTCTATGGTTTCTTTCTCAATTTGATCTATCCCCTGAACTGCTAGCCTAATTATAACATTTCATGAGTCAAAAAAATTCAATTTCATAGCTAACTCATTCCAAATTCCATGGCCTAGGATTAAAAATTTTCCATGTTCTAAGTGTAACCAATTTTCCATCCTTTATCTCTTTATATGTGCTCAATTTTTTCTCCATATCTGTCCTCCATTTGATCTAGAAAATATTGGTTGTCAATAAGTTGAATTCCTTCCATGTGAGTTTGCTATATATTTTCTTCTATGGAATTTCAGTTGACATAAAAACATCTTATTCGTTCTACATATTTGATTTTCACATAGGAAATCAAAATATTCATAGAAAATCCTGGCATATCTTAAAGGACTAAGAAAAAAAAACAGTGTGGCTAAACTCCAGTGCCAAAGGAGGAAGTCAGTAGGCAAGCCAGATGTCATAAAAACTTGAGAATATTTGAAAAAATCATAATCAGTATAATTTGAGAAAAGGGATACTTGAGAGCATACCAGAATGCTTCTAGGAGATCCTTTGGCTAAAGTATTTTATAGTCTAGTAAAGAAGATTAATATATACAGTATATGTATGTACTATACTATAAATATATATTTACTTTTCTATTAATATATTTACTATACTATACTATAAATATATATATTTAACTATAACCAAAGATTAGTATAGACTGGTACAAACTACAGTATAGTACAAGTACAGTGTAGAACAGTATAGTATAGAATAGAATAGTCTAGTACAGCACAATAGTATAGTACAAACTATAGAATAATTTGTACCTTGCCAACCAAGGTACAAAAATGCCCTAGAAGCACGAGAAAATTACAAAATATCCATCTGACATATGCCTTAACTAAGGACCTCACCTCCCAATGACTTGCATGGAGCAGGAAGAACCTCAACTAATGAATCTTTTGGTCCCTAAAGTATTTCTATTTTGAATATTTCTAAGACTTTCATACTTTTAATGAATTTATCCTAAAGAGCTATTTGAACTCAACATTTTATTCAGTGAATTCTGGGAAATACGCAAACGACTACAGAATGGAATAGTCATTATCAGACAGGATTTTCACAATTTCATTTCATTATATGCCCAGCTTATAATTCCTGCTTGTGCTGCTCCACTCAGTTTATTCCTTACAAGTTTCTTCTCCAGTTTTCTCGCAGCAGTATGAATTGTGCTAGGCTCCTAGAATCACCCTGACGGTATCACACATTTCTGCAGACATTGTAATCAGGAGAAATTATACTCTTTAAGGACCAATAGTTCCAAAATATAAAATAAAAAATAATGCATACTCAAACCATCTAACTGGTTGTACTACATATAACTCTAGAATTAGAATAAAGGAAAAAAAATCTATAGTAATCATGTGACTCAAACTGTCTCTGTCAGGTTCTTCTGCTCAGGAATTCAGGATCAAGACTCAATAATTTCATCTTTCCTTATGCAAGGGATACTTAAATACTCAAAAGCTTCTGAGCAGTTATATTCAACTTTGAAAAATAAGATAAAAAGGAGAAACATAAAAATGTTCACCAAAGAAAGAACAATGAAATAAAGAAAAGCAAAAACTATAGACAGGGAATGTTCCAGGTTTTCCAGTCCCTAGTCCCAGGCCCTAATAAGGTCTGTCTGTGCTTGGCATCCAAAGGTCTTCCAACAAATTCCTTTCTTCCTCCTTTACTTTTCTTTTGCTAAAAACTAGCTCAAGTTCATTTTTGTTACTTGCAACAGACTTAAGTAAAGTAATAACCAATATCTCCCATAAAGTCCTTATGGATCTACATTTTCCATATTTTCTTTTCCCTTTATTTCTATTTCCCTAAAAGCCACAGATGGAAGTTCAGAATGCCATATACTGAAATACATGATATGACCATGTGCTAAGCCTTTTAAAAAGTAAAACATATTATGCCCAAGAAGGAGAAAATCAGAAGATTCACAGTAAAATCTTGAGATAGCTATATAACCATAAGAAATGCTAACAAATTATCAATTAAATAACTGATTATCATTTCCAAAGACAATTTAATTCTGAATAAAGCAGATACATAAATCCAATCTAGTCTTCTGTGAGGATCAAATACTTCGATAGAAGGCATTTTATTTGGACTCTTTCCAGACAACTAGTCACAACCTTCCTAGCCACAGGAAGGACTGGTTAATCTCTGCTGGCATCCCTAACCTGGGCCAAAATACCCAAACTGATTATTAATCAATGCTGTTAGGGTCTGAGTTACACCACCTACGAAGAACATCCATTCACCCTATTACATTATCAGTAATTTTGACTATTAAATGAAGGAAACAAAGTTACAAAAGATTAATAATAAGGAACTCTGTACTTAATGTTAAGGTATATGCCAGACATTAAGTGAATCCTGAGGCTGATCTAGGCTCCCCAAAGCTGTATCCACATTCATCAGGTCTGACTACAGGTAAACCAGTTTAACATGTGTAGCAAGTCAGAGTCCGACAATCAGAAGTTTGAACCAGCTGCAGTGGGTAGCTCTTAAGGGTTAAACAAAAACCATACCCTACAGTTAGAAGAGACATGGGAAGCACATCCACCCTTTTCATTTTCATTTCATTCACCTTTTTCTTTTTCATTTCATTTCATTCAGAGACAGAAGCTATGTATTTGTAACCAAATTAACCAACCAACCCCTAATTGTAATAGGTTATACAACTGAGGATAAAACCAAGAACTGTCAACAGATTACGATAGAACTAAAAAGCATTATTTCCTAAAGGTGGTTTTCAATGGTTTAATGTCTATCTTTGATTGATGAACAATACATATCTTAGAATACTGCTAAATCTTACTTCTAGCATAGCACAGTGTTCAGACATTCCAATTATCACACTTGAGTAAAACAAAATTTCTGACTTTATAGATTAGTATCTTAGTTAAAATATCAGAATAAGCACCTTTAAAATTTAAAAACAGTGTGTTGATTCGATATTTAAATGACATTGTATGCTGCAATACTGGTAGACAGATAGTTTTGGCACCCCAACAAATATCTAAATGACAAAGAACTACTGATTTTAATACAAAAAATTTCAGACATTCATATAGGACCCCACTAAAAGTCACTTGAAATTAGATTGATAAATCAGCAGGGACCAAAATTAAAAGAATATATGCTTAAACGTTCCAAATGTAAACCTGGTATTCAAAAGAGTTCACAGTAGTATAGTTTGGTCTTCAGAGGCTGTTTGACCACAGGTATTAGGTAAGTCAACACATGACTAACACAGAAAAAAAATGTATGCATGTATTCCCTGCAATACAACACACTCTTTATTACACAGCATGGTAGATAGTTTTTAGAAGTCACTGGGAAAAAAGTAAAGTTAGAACCTGTTGTGTTTTCCAAAAGGTGCTATTAAAGCTTCTCTTAAAATATGAACTTATAAAAAGCAGGTCCTTTTAGAAAACAGCATTATTTGGAGACAAATGTGAACTTGATTTTATTAAGTTAGTATTTATAAACATTTAATGAAGTGAAATGTCATACATATCAGCCATTGATTCTGTGACTATTTTACAGATTCTAAAATATCTTAAAAGTTTTATAGATAAAATTATCTTTTAAAATCTATTCAAAAAATTTATCTTGCCACCTCTGTTATAAATGAAAATATGAAGATAAACCAAAGTGCTAAATATAATCTAAGCTTAGAAGAGTCTTTTCAACTAATTTATGTGTCCTAGTTATCCAAATCATATTTTGACAGGTTCGTCTATTGGTGACAAAAACAAAAGAAAACTAAAATCTACATAATATCAGCTCTCAGGAATTACAATATGTCATCTTCCATTACAGACAAAATAAAGAACCAAGAATATCACATTCATAAAGGTTGCAACAATCATTAATTCATCATCACTAAAACAAGAGGTCATGCAATTTCACATTTTCCTTAATCCTTTGTTGTATTTTGAATTAATTGCTTTTTATGACATCCATATCCTTAAAAACTCTCTTCCCTACTACTATTACACGATTCAAAGAAAATTATCTTTTAAAACTTTACCGTCACGGCTTAGAAGTGCCACATTTGATGACTTATAGCCTTAAAACTAATAAGGAACGAACAGTACTTTTCATTCATAGTTTGACTTGAAATAGTGCAATGTAAAACTTTAAAATGGACTTGGTTTTGTTTTTGTTTTCCATTTAAAAACAAAAGTGATACCTGGCAAAGTCGGGGCTCTATTAGACTTCGGCCTACGAAGTGCCAGCGAGGCAGCAGGAGCCTGGCACAGCGGCGCTGGCGGCCCGGGCGCGCCTCTCCTGCGGCTCCCCGCGCCGCCCCCTGCCCGTCCAGCGCCCACTCTCCCGGACGGCGCGCGGCGGAGGCGCGGTCCGGCAGCGCGTTCCCACGCCCCAGGCCCGTTATCCGGGCTCCACGTTCGGCGCCGCCCGGTGCCCTCCGAAACTGGGGCCGCCGCGCCCTCCGCGTCTAGCCGAGGCCGAGCCAGACCCCTCCCTCGGGGCCCCGCGCCAGGACAGAGGCTCCCGCGGCTCAGGTTCGCTCCAGGGACGGGATAAGGTGTCGGCGCGGGGGCCGGACGCCTTTGTCGGCGGGGAGACGCGAGCCGCCACTGACCTCCTTCCATTGGGCCCCGCCTCGCGGGCGCGGGCGCGGGCACGACCCTCCTCGGGCGGCGGGGGCGTCGCGCGCGCGCTGAGGGGCGCAGCCGGAGTCCCGAGGGACCCGGGCCAGTCCCACCCCAACTTGGCAGGGTCGGGTGGGAAGGGAGAGGCGCCGCCGGGAGGGAACCCGAACTTACCCGACTGTGCGGCTCCCCGCGCCGCGGCCAGGCACAGGCTGAGGCAGAGGCAAAGCGCGAGGGGGTGCGGGCGGGTCCGCCGCGCTCGCATAGGAAGGCCCCCAGCCGCCGGCGCCGCGGTCCGAGCCTCCCTCCTCCTCCCGGCTCGGGCGACGGACGGGGCGGCGGGAGGCATGACGGGAAATTCCTGGGCACGGGCCGCGGAGTCCAAATATGAGCATAGGAGCCGGCGAGGGAGGACCGCGGAGCGCGCCGGCCGGCCGCGGCGGGGCCCGCTGCCCGGGCTTCGGCGGCCGCCAGCCCCCGCCTCCCCCACAGCCGCCCGGGGCGGCCGGCGGGCATCCGCTCTCCACTCTGGGCCCAGAGCACACCCGAGCACCCCGCTGCCAGGTTCCACCTGAGACCCCTGGCGGGTGCGAGAACAGCCGTGGAGACGGCGGACAGGGAGTCAGGGACCTGGGGAAGACCTGTCAGAGTTGAGAGGTTTGATAGTCAAGACATAAAAGTTTTGGCAAATACCCAAGTGTAGGAGGCTAAGGCAGGAGCAGCACTGCCAGTTATATCACACAGGTGAGCCATCCCACACGTACTCTGCATTATAATTCAGCGAACCAGTGCCTGCCTGCCACAAACCAGTGCGCGCGTGTGCGTGTGTGTGTGTGTGTGTGTGTGTGTGTACACGCAATTGCAAAGGGGCTCTTCCGGTACTTGTATTTGAATGCTATATATGGAGTTGAGGCAGGCTAACTGGTAGATTTAATTTTTCACACTGGTTGAGGATTGTAGTTTACACGGAACGTTTTGCCTCCAACTTCTATTCATCTATCTCTTATACACACACACACACACATACACATCCCTTGTGTATTTATTGTAGCTTGTCTAAAGCGCAAAGTTGAGATTTATTAAAAAGGCGCTACCTCTGATGACCAGAATTTCAGTCCCAGATGTTTAAGTATAGGTCCAAACCTGTAGTTGCCTTACTATTCTTTGGCACAGCCTTTGAGTAATCAAGTCCAAATGACCCTTAGCTTTTCAGGATAGGTAGTTATGTCTTAATTACTGTATTTTTTTTACTCAGTGGGACAGGACCTGGATATACAAGATGTTATAAAATTACTTATGAACATTTAAGATGCTACAGAAATGATTTATTGATGTAAAACACTTCAGGGGTAAATGTCAAACAGATTTAGAGAGTGGATTATTCCAACATGAATTAAAGTGATGATAATTTGTACATCACACTATTTGTTTGAAAGTACTTTATTTGAAAATCAGAAACCTTATTTCAAAACAAATTCAACTCTGGCACAGTATGAAGGCCTGTAAGCCAAAAACCAGTCCATTTGCAAGTGGCTTCCATTAAAACATCTGGTATTAAAAAACCTCTGCGTCTCATGAATTATGGCTGGCAAGTGGGAAGATTTCACCTTTAATATATTAGCAGTGATAATGGGAGTAAAAGCAAATGACCAAGTAAACTAATGGTAAATAAATTGCAGCACAGTTTTTTAAAAGGGACTTAAACGACCCATAATATTATTATTCAATTAGGTACCTAGAACCTAGGTAGTTGAAATAATTGAGAAACTTGAGTATTCCTTCCCTCTCCTCTTTTTTTAAAATATCTTTTACCTTGCATTACATAAACTTCTGTTTCTTTTCTTAGACCACCTGGCATAGTTCTTTGCCTATAGTCTTAAATGTTTAAAACAAAAATAAAATGAGCACAGCCATTTGTAGACTGGAATATAGAAACTAAAAATAGACAAAAAGTATGTTTCCAAGGATTAGAATAATTATGGCTGCATTAAAATATTTTCATTTAATGACCTTAATTACAAAAATGTAAAAATATATAGAATGTAATGTCATTCTAAACTTAACTCATGTTAATATAAATGAAAAGTTAATTACTCAACTTCTCAACTTTGCAAACATCAGTATCAGCAGCCTTTTTGTTGTTGATGTCGTTTTTTGCTGTACTGGGGATTGAACCCAGGGCCTTCCACTGTGCTATATCCTGAGACAGGATGGACTGGAACTTGCAATCTTCCACCATCAGTCTCTTGAGCACTGGGATTCCAGACATGATCCACCATGCCCAGTTCAATAGCTATTCTAAAAAGTTGATTTAACTGTGTTAAGTAACTGAGAAATGAACTACAATTAATGAATGCATAATAACTGATAAACACTGGGCTAAATGTTTTGTGCCCCATACCTCATTTAAATCCTTACAAATGTCTGTGAATTTATTATTCTTATCCCTGTTTTAGAGCTAAGAACTGATGAAGATAAATGATATGGCACCAGGAAAGAGTAAAGAAGTATTTGAATTCAAACCTCTTTCCAAAGTTCAAATATATTTTTTACTTACTAATATGGTCTATTTTCTCCACATTATTTTTAACAAGGAGTGGTGTCCAAAAACTACGTTCCTTGAACTTTTGAGGTTTTAAGTAACTGGTATGCACTTGGGTTACTTCAAGTACTAGAAGTAAAGACTATATGTGGAAATAAGACCAGAGGCTTAACTGGCTTGTCAGATCATGCTTTCTGCTCCTGGAGGATGGATGGGACCTGTACCTTTGACAACTGGGGAAACAGGAAAAGTCCCACCTTCAGATCACAATCCTACAAATTTCGTAGTTTAATCACTAGTATTTCAGCCATACATTTCACAATGCTCTCTCTGATTATTTTTTCATTAGAACATTAGTAACAAGCATCTTAACATATTACTTTAAAAACTGTGTTTTAAATGCAAGGACCTAATACAGAACTTGTTTCCTCTCCTTGCTATACCATACTTACCCTCACCTAAGTGATGAGGTTGTAATCATTTAACAGCAGTAAAGGGGAGGTGGACCTGATTTGTACCATTAGCAATCTTTGTGGTTTAAATATTCTTAGCAACCTACTTTCTCTGAAGACAGACCTGGGAAGAGATGCATGTAGGCAGCTCTTAGGTCAGTACAGCCAGCTGTTCCAATGTCTCATGAAATGTCTTCAGTATTGCATATTTCACAACTATAGTTCTTTGTCTCTCTGCCTGTCTTTCCACTCCTGCTCCCACGCCCAGTGCCAACTTTCTCTAAATATATCTCATAATCAAAAGCCCCACAGGGAAGAATCTGATTCTATCATCATTCTCTAATGAGTGTATCTCATAAACCACTAAGCAGCCTATGAACTGGCCCCTCCTAGCCAGGTACTCTCTCCTAGTTCTTCAGCTGTGCTAATATGGAAGAGTCACCTGATACAGAACATGACCTGGTATGCTAAAGAAAAGGACTGTGATGTTACCTTCTTACAAAGCCACACTTTAGACATTCCCTTTTAAAAATGGATAAATCTTACAGACATCCAAGCTATAATCTTTTTAACATGCTATTCTCAGCTCTTTAATAAAATCTACCAGTCACTGCAAAGCTTTGGGACAACCCCTCTCCACATTCCCAAAGAACTAAACGGATGCCAAAAACTGGCAGTGGAGATGGACACGGTAGTGCTATGCACTGTTTGAAAGCTTATAGCCAGAGCAAGAAACTCATTATTACTTAAGTATAGTGAACATTTATCAAGTGCAATTGTTTTAAACCAATCAGTGATCAAGTGTAGAGTGAGTGTGGTTTTCTCAGAGGGAATGTAACAGACTTTCAAAAAGAAGATTTTTCTAACTGCCCTCAATCCACTCCAAATTCCTTGTCACTGTCACAGAAAGTAGAATGTTTTCACTCTCACTCTTGTTGAGAACATTTTTATACTGACGGAAGACTGCCTCCTGCCTCACTCTGCTGCTGTGGGAATCGTCTAAAAAGGGTTCATTTTAACAACACATGGGACACAGAGTCAGTTCTTCCTGGCCAAAGGAGATCTTCAGTGTTTCCTCTCAGATTCTCAGAAAGGCTATCTATCAGCATGACATGCTTCTATCTCCCAGTCACCGCATGGACTAAAATAACAAGAATGGTCTACCAGGAAATCAGATGGAACTCCTAAACAGAGACAGGAGACCTAATTAACCTGAGCACTTTCCTTCTTTTTAGGGTAAAATGCATACACCCCAGCTGAATTTTTTTATTTGCACAGTTGCACTCACCCTTCTTTGTTGATTAATTCTGGAGAGATTTGATGTGATTGACATGCCGCTTGATCTGCCAGCTTTGACTTTGGATATGCTGCAGCAAATAATAAGTATTTAACAAAATTGCCAATATTGTAGAGAATTAAGAAATTCTTTCTAAACCAGAAAAGCTGCCTGGCTTTTGGCAAGATTTTATAATGTAAAGTGATATATGTGGAATCAAAAAAACATAGAACGGATTGACTTTTTGGTGGTACAGGGAAGTTCTGATAGACTTCCCTCACTCAGCTAATGTTCCTAAGTGTTTCTTATACTACAAGCATCTCCACAGTAAGTATGTTCAGCATCTCACAGTATGTTTACACTACTTGCCTTTAACTACAAACTAGCCCTTTTATCTGTTGTTCATCCAAAGTGCGTATGATCTGAAACATTGGTGGCAAACTAGCTATGCAAAACTTCCTGGAAAATATATAGTTTCTAAAACAATGCCTCTTTAGATTTTCAGTTTTATCTCTGCCATTCTCCCTGGTGAGCTGCTTTTAAAGCCTTAGCTGTATATAAGATGCAGCTCCACTCATAGATTAAGGGTTTTGGCTTTTCGCGTCAGATGCATTCATGTTCAAGCATGACTTCTACCATTAAAGCTGTTGGACTGAAAGGAAGCAACTTACAGCCTTGATATTTTTGTCTGTAGCATGAAATAGACATGGCCACCACACTTGGGTCTTATCCCCCATGCTAGCATATGGTGATTCCATAATAAATATCAAAATAATTCTAATAGCACTACAAAGTAACTCTTGGCCTTTAAGCATCTGATATGATTTCCTGTGTTAAATGACTCAGTTTCTCTTCACAGCTGAGGCCTACACTTGCATTCATAATGATCTCCTAAAGAAATCTATTCAGATTTAGTAATCTTTTCAACACATTCTCTAAAACTTACTTTAAATATTTGTACTCAACATTACTAATGGAAATTATCCTTAAAATATTTTAACTTCCTCAAAGTAATATTAGGCTATTCTCATAGTTGATT